AATAATGAGTGATCAGGAAGAATTTAGTGAAGCACACTAATTAGGACAGGGCAGTAACTCTCCTGATGTTGAAGCTGTGCCTTAGCAGAAGTAATGTGCTATTGTTTCTTCAAAGATGTGTGCAGCCTTCATTTTGGATGGCTTTCTTTGTCTCAACTTTTGTAGTTTTTATTAAGCCTTTTAAATACATAGAGGGTTAATATATTCTGTTCTGCCAGAGATATTTAAAGTGTATATTCAGCTGTGCTTGAAAGGGGAATTTTCGTCTCTCGGCTTTGTTTAGCAGGGGCATTGCCTTAGGAGTTGACCCGAAGTCACAGAAAGGTGGGGTTCTTCCCACTTACTTTGACTACTGTTTGACAACATTTTTATTTCTATTAATTTTTGCCTGAAAATTGATAATCTTAAACAATCTGTGATTAAAAAAAAAGATACATTCCAAAAGAAAAATATTTGAATGGGCAAAGCTGAGGTTCAAATATCCCAAACAAATGAAGCGTGAGTTTTTGCTTCTCAGTGTGCCTTCTCCATAGTGTCCTATTTATACCAAAAATACCTTGTTTTTATTTATTCCTCAAACTTAAAAATTGATGTCCTTCCCATACCAGACTGTAGAGTCCACAGAAACTTGTGTATTGAGTCACCAGTCACACTCCTGGCTGCCAGCCACCATGCGTCTGCTGTCACCAGAGCCTTGCTGATCTTTAAAAACCATCAGGAATTATTTCTCTGCTCCTGAAAACCCAAATGTTGCAATGTTAATGATTTGTTCAAATACCTGTCATGATCTAAACTATATTCTGGTTAAGAGGGTTCAGTATATTCTTTGAGAGAGGAAACTTCAGCGTACTTACCAACCATGCCCTCCTCCCACCCCACATTCCCTCCCAGGTCCATCCTCGCAGGTAGTAAATCATCCAATGCAAATTGCATCCAAATAACATTTTTTAAGGAAAAAAAGGAATATTATGAAAATTTGCCATGAATTGTAATAGAGTATCATCTATAATAAGAAAGTTTGATAGTTGTTGCTTGTAATACAGTGTCTTTGTGACTTGAACCAGCTGGCAGCATTCTCAGGCATTTTAGACACCTTGTGCTGTGAAATGAACCTGGGAACAGTCGTTCTATTTCACATCCCACTTCCTTGATAGAAACCACGCCTGCTCCCATTGCAGAGGGGTGTATACCAGTGGTGGAGAGCGCAGCTTTAGTGAGAGTGGTTTTGCTCTTTTCCTGAAGTCCAGACTTCTCTCCTGTTTCCCTCCCTCTCTCTCCCTGCTATGCTTTTTTGTGTGGTTGTGCAGAAAAACCTTTCTGCAAATCAACAGTTAGGCTTGGACACTCGTTTTGGGAAGGATAAACTGATGCGGATCGATCTCTCTCTCTGTGTCTGTCTGTCTCCTGAAATGCTCCCCAAATTTTCCTAGTTTTAGATAATTTCTAAGAAGATTTCCTCCACTGTCAAAGCCTTGGACACACATAAACATCGGCTAGAGTTCCTTTTGGGCAGAAGAGCCCTGTTGAGGTGTGTGTCGTGGAAGGATGTAGGAAGTAGTTCTAAGTGATGTCAAATCCCTAGGGCTGGGTCTTAAAGACTTTCTGTGTGGAGGAGGAACTTTTTAAAAAATTTAAATATGAATGTATCTATGTACTGCGTAATGCACCAATATTATGATATCCCAAAGGGACTTTTAACATACACCGAAGGGGCTTTATTATAACGGGATTAAATAAGTGTTATTTATGTTTTTGCAAGGTAGCCAAAATATGCGCTTTTATCTTTGGATGTATCACATCTTAACTTTTTTTTAAAACTACATTAAGGAGACTCTTTACATATTTCTGTGACAAGAAAATAAAAACAAATTTATGGACACTTTAAAATGTTGTTCTTTTTCCTCCTTAAAATTCCATAGCTCTTTACTGATGGGAGAATGACATTTCTGACCAATCAGCAATAGATCTATTAGCATAAACATAAATATTATATTTTAAATTTAAAACATTATCTGCTATAAGGGATACTTTCTAACTTCTCCTGAGGTCTCAACAGGAAAAGTGATCACCAGTTTAAAAACTGAAGTCATTCCATGAAAAATATGATGTGCCGCAAAGTAACTGGGTTGAACAAGGTCTGGAAAATATTTGTGAAGCAGAAAGAGAAATAGGTAGTGCATGATATTGCATGTAAGAGTTTCCATGGTAATATCTGTAGGGGGATTTGTGGCTAGTCACTTGGCGGCTATGATAATCCAAAAACCTGAAAGAGATTTGTCATTAGCAATTGATAAATATTTCAGGGTCGACCTGTTCAAGTTCCTGGATTGGAAAAATATGTAAAGGGATCTTAGGCCTCTCATCTAAGTGCAGTTATTTTTCATTGTAGTATTCTATGATCATGGACGGTCACCATGTGCTAGGCTCTGTGCTAGGCTTTATGGAGAGAAAATAGAAGGTATAGTCCCTTCCTGTAAGAAGTGACTACTGAGAAAGAAAGGCAGCTAAATGAATAATAATAGGGGTACAAGAGGCAGACAGAGAGACATAGCTTGGTGATACCGAGGAGAGGCAACCAGTTTTTTAAAAATGGGGTAAGGGGTGCCAGGGAGGCCTTTCTCAGGAGAAGAGAGATGGTGCCCAATCCAGAACTTACTATTTCCTGCCCATCTTGATATCACATCCGCAACTCAACAATAAGTTGGAGCTGGCATGGCTTCATATTCTGTTTTCATATTTTGTACTGACTTTAATACATGTAAAGTATCATTTCTCTTCTCCCTGCTGACTCTTCTCAGAATGCACACTAGGTTGGTGCATGGAAATATGTTTTAATAGATTTACATCCCATGGGAATTGAAGTTTTCTCCCAGAATTTAGAAATGCATCTTAGATGAATCACCAAACACTTTGATTGCTATTATACTCTAAGTAATTTAGTGATTACCTTTGAAACTGTTTGCATTGGCAGGAATTGTCATTTGCTCTTGGCTCCCTGTGGACTCCTGAAAGTCATTTATCTTCTATGTGCTCATTAAAGCCAAGCTTGTAAAATTTGAGACTGGATTATAACACTTGAATTTCACCTTGAAGCCATCTGCTTTTCCAATACATGTAATTAGATTTAAATTTAAATCTTGCCAAATTTGTAGGCAAAGTCCACTTTTGGGGTGACCCAATTGCACTAGATCTTGGCACGAGTCAAATCTCTACATGGAAACAGATCTTGCATTTCTACTTCTACAGATCCTGCAGTCAGGAAATCCTCCTGATTCTGTCATGTTACCCTAGTCTGGCTTCCACACTTACTTTTTCAAGCCCTGTAAAATGAAACAGGCTTTACTTCTCCCACCCTCCGTGCCCCACCCCGCTTCCTGAGTTGAACGGTAGCCCCTTAGAGCAGCTCTCTGACCCAGGGCAGGCAGCAGTTGCTCTTTTGTCTCCAGTTTCTTTTTTCCCCTGTCTCCTTTGCTACCCTCCTTTAAGTAGCTATTCTCCAATGCTCTGGCCTTCATCAGCTTGCCTGTCCATGTCACCTGCTCTCCGTCGGTGGGCCCATCCTTTGCCACACAGTGTCCACCAATCCTCTACACCCACAGCCACACTGACCTCCTGTGACCCTTGCACAGCGAGGAGAGCGGCGCTGCTGTTCCCGCTGCTGCCTGGAATGTGCTTCCCCAGAAAGCCATGGCCTGTTCCCTCACTGCCTGCAGGATTTCGCTCTAATGGAGCCACCTCGGTGGGATATTCTGAGATAGTATGTACTTTAGTTTCCCCTTTCTGGAATGTGAACTCCATGAGGTGAGAGACTTTTCATCTTAACCCACAGAGCCTTGAACAGTACTTGGTCCATAGAAAGTGTTCGGTCAGTACCTGTTGAACGAATGAGAGAATTAATGATTCCTGGCCTGGGGGTGCTGCAGTGCAGATGTAGAGTGCTCCTGTGGCAATCACGAGCTCTGCCCCAGCCAGCTGAGTGGTGCCACGGAGCCCTTCACCTTGAGTGGGCCTCTGTTTCCAGTTCTGCAGATGGGGAGTGTGTACCAGGGGCTCTGAGGCCCCTGGAAACTGTAACACTCTTTCACAGTCCTGGAAATAAGATGTGATGTCATGTAAAACGTTATTTATACGACTCATCACAACTTGATGTTATAGCATAATTGCTATCTATGGAAAAATGTCTCCTTTAAAAAAGAAACAATAGTTGAAGTGAACAAAACAGTTTCCGAATGAAGTTGTAAAAACTAATGCATATTGGTGTACTGCCGTGTTTACTATCTTTTAAAAAAATGTTTTGACCCATTTTTATTTATTTATTTGAGACCAAGTCTGGCTCTGTTACCCAGGCTAGAGTACAGGGGCACAATCTCGGCCCACTGCAACCTCCAACTCCTGGGTTCAAGCAGTTTTGCTGCCTCAGCCTCCTGAGTAGCTGGGATTACAGGCGTGAGCCACCACGTCTGGCTAACTTTTGTATTTTTGTTTAGTAGCCAGGTTTTCACCATGTTGGTCAGGGTCGTCTCCAACTCCTGACCTTGTGATCTGCCTGCCTCAGTCTCTTAAAGTGCTGGGATTGGCGTGAGCCACTGTGTCCGGCCTATTTTTATTATTTTTGAGATAGAGTCTCTCTCTGTCAACCAGGCTGGAGTGCAGTGGATCTCAGCCCACTGAAATCTCCACCTCCCAAGTTTGAGCGATTCTTGTGCCTCAGCCTCTCGAGCAGCACCACCAAGCTTAACTAATTTTTGTTTCTTGGGAGTCTTTTTGTAGAGACAGGGTTTCACCATGTTGGGCAGACTGGTCTCCAACTCCTGGCCTCAAGTGATCTGCCCTCCTCGGCCTCTCAAAGTGCTGGGATTACAGGCGTGAACCACAGCGCCCGGCCTGTATTGACTAATTTTTAAAAGAATTATCATTGGCTATAGCTAAATGTATTTAATAGCCTGCCTGTTTTTATCAAATTAAAAAGCAATAGCAATCTTTTCTTCCTTTGATTTTAGCAATTTCCTGCTGCAGAGAGCATTTTAAGAAAGGACAGCGTTCCTGTGACCTCAGCCTACCATCCATAAAACACTCATTCCCCTTTCAGGTAAGCATATTGCTTTGCTTTGATCCATTCTGAGAAGAAAGTATTGATTCTCTATGAAAATTTGTGTCATTATTGCACTAAGGCAAAGAAGCTGAGGTTTCAGATATTTTGCTGTTAGGCAAAAAAAAAAAGAAAGTCCCACTTTTTGAGGTCCTTGCCAGGACCAAAGTATCAGTGATGGCCATTTGCCTTTCCAAGGGGTTTCATGATACACCTTCTACATATCTGCTAGTTGTTAGTTTGTTAAATGCTGTGTGCTATTTATTGGGTAGTCTCCCAGGAATTTTATGTCCTGTGTGTTTTTAAAAATTTTTTATTTTTTGTCAGAAATAGAGTTTTGCTCTGTTGCTCTGGCTGGAGGGCAGTGGTGTGATTCTTGCTCATTGCAGCCTTGAACTCCTGGGGTCAAGTGATCCTGCCGCCTCAACTTCCTGAGTAAGGCTATGAGTGTGCACCACCATGCCCGGCTAAGTTTTTAAATTGTTTTCGTAGAGATGGGGTCTCACTATGTTGCCCAGGCTGGTATTAACTCCTGGCCTCAAGCAGTCCTCCCACCTCGCCCTTGCAAAGTGTTTAATTTACAGGCATGAGCCACCTGGCCTGGCCAGAAGTTCACTGTCTCTGCTTGGGGAATGAGTTGGTGGTGCAGGGTCAGCAGCAAGGGCACTGGGAGTGGGTGACTAGGAGAGATCTTTACAAGCTGGCCCCTTAAAAGTGGCAGGATTGAGAGAGAAGAACTTAAATTCCAGTCCAGGAACTGAGACTGAGGGGGTGGAGCATCTTTGAAGAATAGCCAGCCAGCAGGCCTGGGAATGGCAGTGTGCTTTTCTCCACGTCCGTACCACTCCCAGGACTCCTTTCTGGTCCCCACAGCTGATGGAGAGTCTGGAAACATTTTTTCCAGGTCTCTTCCTACAGCCAGACTATCTTCCAGGAAGGAGCTGAGGAAGTGGAGAACGGTGGTCAAAATACAGAGGGTTCCCTCTTTTATGGAGGGACTGAGAGCTTAATACCACCAAATGAGGAGGTTAGAAATGTTTAGGAAAATAAAGACAGTCTCCAGTTACCTCGTGTCCACAGTGAGTTTTAGGAGTGTAAAGAGCAACCCTATGGAGAACAGAGCCTCAGCCTCAGTTTCCACATTCTGAGTGGCCCCATGCTTGGATGTGATTGACAGCCTTCCTCAAGCTTCCTCCAGCTTCCTTTCTAGCATCCATTTGTAATGTACCCTTGCTTATATAGTAAGCCATACATTTTGTAATTTATTATTATTGCATTATGCAGGATATTGTTAGGTGATGTGATTGCTCTTCTAGAACCTTTGAACCAAACTTAGGCCCACAAATAAGAATCAGCCTGTGCCAGGCAGAATTCGGCAATCTGTAGAAATAGGAATTAAAGAGAAAGCCAACAATACCCCTCAGTGCTGTACCCTAAAGTCTCTCACTCTTATTGCCATCTTACTTATCTTCTTATCTCAGATATAAGAAGCTCTAATATGAAAGCCTGGGCTCCTGTCGGCTGGAAGGAACTTTGCACCTGCCATCACCAGCACTTGTGGAGCTGAGGTTGTAGAACAGCACCCAAGTGCAGGTGGACTTAGTAGGGAATGCCTTCCAGTAGGCCCATGTTTTTCATTCTGCACTATTCTAAGGAACTCAGCCATCCTGATTTGCCCATGACTGAGGGGTTTCCTGGGACATGGGACTTTCAGTGCTAGAACTGGGAAGTCAGTGCAAAGCAGGACATGTTGGTCCCTCTTGTGATCCCAACACCCCACCTCTTTCATACATGGCTGCAAGATGTTCTGCTCATCGGGATGATTGCTGATGGCAGTTGAGTTTGCAGTGCTAGTGGCCGGGGAAGAACTGCAGAGTAGGCCGGAACATCATCTCAGCTCGCCTACTTAGTAATCCATTTGGAGGGACTGGGATGGTTTGCTTTACTTCTGTGAGCCTCAGTTTCTCGTATGCCAAGTAAGAAGAACAGCAAGGCAGTGGGGGTGTAGGAGAGGTAACAAGACAGAGCAGTGTTGATGCCTGATGTAGCCTAGGCATGCAAGAAAGGGCAGACCCCTCTCCCCATCAACATAAACCATCCAGAGAAGACAGTCAGTTACCTTCGCAGGCATAAAGTAACTGGCTTGAGCTTTACCAATGCTATTACTTACCTAGACAAGGAAGGTTAGAAAGAACTCAGCCAGGTGACTTACCAACACAGTGTCACCTGGGTTGCAGGCATAAATCCTAGCCCCAATGCCTAATTCTTAAATAACCTTAAGTAATGTGCGTAAGTTACTTTGAGTTTTTATCAGCTTTCCTATAAATAGATTGAAACCTTTTTTAAAGTGCTTTAAGAATGTTGTGAAAAGCATAATTTGTTTCTTATCCATATCCAAATATTTTTAACTTTCAGGTTTTTATTGCATTTAAGGTTCATTAAAACATTTTTCTTTCTTAGATTCTTAAATTACAGATAAGCAGCCTTATGAATACATATGCATTATTATCACCATTAAGTTTTCACTGCTCTCAATACGTGAGTTTAAGATGACTAGATTATTTTGTTTTTAGAGAACGCACTGGTCTTTTTAAATGTGGCTCCTTGTTTAAGGAAACTAAAAGGCAGCTGAAGTCATGAAATAAAACGATATTGTAATAATGTTCTTTTGGTCAAACTTTTTTCAGTTTTTTCATCATAGAACATGAGACATCCTGAATAATGTATATATGTAAGTCATTTTTAAAGGAATACACAAACACCAATTTCTGTGCAGTTTGCATGTAATTACAATTTCAGGAAATAAGCTTGAAGGCTTCCTTTGTTTTTTATGTTATCTTATTCAAACTTATGTAATTGATAAAGTCAGTTTCTCCTTGAAAGTTTGGTTTTCCAGAACTCTCCAGATTTTTGCCTTTTTAACATGGTGCGTGCTAGATGCTTGAGAAGTTGCTCGGAGTAGCAACAACCCTCACACATTTATTTTGTATGTTAAATGGGCCTGACCAAAAGTGCAGGCTGGTCTTTCCGACGCCTTTTTTTCCAACTCGGTGTTTCCTAAAGCTGGTCCTCCAGAGTGAGAGGTTTGTACCTCGTCCATGACTCATATCATCCTCTCATGCCAGCACCCCTGACTTTTGCCTTTCCCCAGATGAGCTGTTTGCCAAGAGAATGACTCAGAGCTCTGATTCCAGTAGTACAGTCAGGTGTGGCTCCTCTGAGGCCATCTCAGCTGACCTTGAGCAAGGTCTCCTCGGGAACCAGGAGAGCCAGCACGGCAGTGAGACCCACTGTGCTGGGAGCCAGGCTTGCTTGCTGCTTTTTTAAAAAGAGGAAGAGGAAAGGGCATTCTCTGGGAAAAGTAGCAGAGATTTTAGATGTTTTATTTTCCTTATTCACAAAAATTGTATATGCTTCTGTAAGGATAGATATAGGGATTGTCTCCCTCATACTCAGAAAGTATAATTCTATTTTGGAGGATTTAACACGCATTTATTATGAAGTTCAAAAAATTATTGATTGCAATTTAAATTGTCAAATTACAGCAGGGTGTTGGTGGCTTACGCTTGTAATCCTAACACTTTAGGAGGCTGAGTTGGGAAGATTGCTTAAGACCAAGAGGTCAAGACCAGCCTGAATAGCATAGTGAAACCCTGTCCCTACAATTTTGTTTTTTTAATTAGCCAGGTATTATTACTTCTTGGGCTTTTGGCTAAGATCAGGTTTAAAAGATTAGCCAGCTATTATGGCATGCGCCTGTAGTTCCAGCTGCACAGGAGGCTGAGGTGGGAGGATTGCCTGATGCCAGGAGTTTGAGGCTGCCATGAGCTATGATCATGCCACTGCACTCGAGCCTCAGTGACAGAGCTAGGACCCTATCTTTAAAAAAAAAAAAGAAGTAATTTGAAGTATATAAATATTTTAAATCAAATGAAAGAGAAATTCTGTATTACTACCTGCATAGTTGTTTATTAATGGCTGTTATAGAAGTTATGTAACTGTAAAGGTAGTCACTGGTTTTCTTGCAACGATCAATAGAAAGGAAGAATGGGCCGAGGTTTCGCCCATGGACTGTGGAAGGACTGCCCTGTGGCTCTGTGCTGGAGGTGTTTATGCAGTCTGCACTTGCCCTTCAGAGAAGCATTAGAATCTTCAATATGTAGATATTATAGTATCTTCAATATGTAGATATGGGATATGTGTAATATGAGAATCAGAGGCTAAACTTCAGACCAAAGGGCAACCATGTGGTTAGACACACACTGGGTATAAAGCCCAAGTCTACCCAGGGTTCTTCTGTCAAACCCCTAAGCAGACCTTGCACACCAGGTCATTTCTTTACAATATCAGGGTCATACATGCAACAGGAAAGTTGGTTGAGGGAAACTGGACAATGGGGAAGGGAGAATTGAAAGGTTACAAGGAAATATAAATGTCTGGTGAAATATTAGAACGATTATAAAAACCATGAAAACTTTCAATCAATTAGAGCAAGGAAGAGACCAAAAAGGTCGTATAAAGAGGGAAAGAGACTGTTAAGCAGACGCAGGTGAAAGAGGAGATTTAAACAGCGATTGTAGTTGTGCCAGGTGAAAACTGACTTTCCAGACCTTCTCACTTTATTTTCAACCTGTAAATCATGTGCTACCATCTCTAGGTGTGGATGGAGGGAGCATTCACACATTTTGAGTACTCAGAGATTCAGAGAAATGTGATACTTGCCAGGACCCTGTGTTTAGAGACCTCCACCCAGGTCTCTCTCTTCCATAGCATAGAATAAAAGAAGGCGAAATATTTAATTCTGGTTAAAAAATGCAACTGAAATCTGAATATATTTCTAATCTGCATTTCTTCGGGAAATTCCTTCTATTCACCAGGGAACAATGCTGCCCTCTCTTCGCATGGTCTTTAGGCAGAGCTTCACAGAGCACTGGCCTCTCATCATCCTGAAATGTGTATGTTTTACCTTTACTTGAGTCCTATGGGTCTAGTTCTCTATGATACATTTAAAAACAAGCTCCACATCACCCTTGGTCAAAAAGAGACAGGTTTCAATCACCATGACAGTCAGTGAAGATCCTTCCTTTGTGAAGAAGCCTCCCAAGTGACTGTCCCTTACCACACTTGCCTGTTCGGGTGTCGCACCCTGCTGACTCCTCCTTGAGGGCTTGTGCCTCAGCGCAGCCCCTCTTCATCACCACACAACCCCATTACTGACTTAGCCATATGCTGGTCTCCTGCCTCTAGTTTCTGCTCCCATGCCAGTCCATGTAAGAGACAGAAAGTTTTTATTTTTATTTTTTGGGACAGAGTCTGGCTCTGTTGCCCAGGCTGGAGTGCAGTGGCGCAATCTCGGCTTACTGCAACCTCTGCCTCCCAGTTTCAGCCTCATCCTCCCTAGTAGCTAGGATTACAGACGTGTGCTACCACGCCCAGCTAATTTTTATATTTTTGGTAAAGATGAGTTTTCACCGTATTAGCCAGGCTGGTCTCGAACTCCTAACCTCAAGTGATCCACCTTCCTCAGCCTCCCAAATTGCTGGGATTATAGGTGTGAGCCACTACGCCCCACCAAAAAATTATTTTACAAACGCTATCTTCCTCCTGTTACTTCCCTGCTGTATGTAAAACCTTGTTTCTCCCAGTTACCTGTCTGCCAATTTAAATTCCAAAGCCACCTGTCATCTGGGCTCTTCCACTTACTCAAAGTCAGTGTCTGTAATTCTATTCATATTCTCTGTATACCTGGCCCCTCAGAGCTTATGGGCTGCTTCTTGTCCAAAATCCCTTATCAATTTCACTCTCTTAAGGTCCAGGAGTTCCTTTAATCCCCTTTTCAAAAGTTACTTTTTCGTTTAAAAGAAAAAAGATTTTTTTTTTTTTTTTGGCAGAGTCTAAAACTTTTTACCATTTATTCATTCAACAAATTCATAATTAATGCAACTAATTTAATGTATACCATGTACATTTATTTATAAGTAGTCTTGGAATTATTCTTGGCTGTCTCTGAGGGTTTATGTGTTATCTCTTAAATTGTATGATCAATTTTTTTTTAATTTTGCCTTCATCAAAGAGACTAGGCTCTCAGATGCTCGAGGCGTTGAATAAACAAGCTTTGCCCTCCCAACTTTTTTTTTTTTTTTTGCCGTAAAAATGCTTTATTAGGCCGAACTACACACTATAAAAATGCTTTAAAATGTAGCAGGAGGAGATGTAAAGACTCAAAGAAATACAAAGAAGTGACAGTGGCTATCAGAACACACTAAAGAATCTACACTACTTCCCCCTTTACTTAGAAAAGGAGCCGTGAGCACATGTGATGGGCTGAAATCCTAGAGGAGATTGTACCTCCCGGTGACGGCTTTGCAGCGTCAGCACTATCCTATGGACCAATTTACTTCCTGAAGAGGAATGAAGTGATTTTCTCACCCGGGAAGCCTTTGTGAAAATAAAAATTTTCATCAACAACACAGAGTGGAAAGCTATTGTCAGTTCTTAACTGCCCATAGTAAAGTGATGTCTTAATGAGCATGTAGGACAAACCATCTAGGGGAAAATAACTGCATCTCCTCTAGAAGGCAAAGTGGCCCCACTGACAGCAGGAAAAAGGAGGAACTCAGTCTCAACTGCCAAGACCCACTTCAGATTCTCCCTCCCATGTGGGCTTCTTATCCTTAAATGGCCATTTATTCATTATTTACATTCTGTGTCTTCAGAGTTCCTTGTGATTCTGAGCACATAGTCATGTACATGTTTTAGTCTATGAGTACATTAAAGGCACTTGTGAAAATCTGATTTAAGTTACAGTAAAATTCTTCTGCCTCTCTCCAATAGACTATAAGCAAGTTGGGGGTAAGAATTACATTTTAACTCTGGGTCTGTAGAATAGAGCACAGAATGGCACTGGATTCTAAGCATAGAACACAGAGTAGCTTGCACCCTGCACCTCCCAGGACTTTTCTCAGGACACTTTTAAGGGGGTGTTAGAGTGGCTATACCGAGGCACGGGTTGCCGGGGCAGTCAGAGTACGGATTGACACATCACTCTCTGAACCTGGCAGTTGGCATCAAAAACAGGAGAAAAAACAGGCTTCGTTTTCATTTACTCTCCTAGTTGTATTTGTAGTTCAACATTTGGTGCTGTATTGGTAAGGGGAAAAGTTACTTTTGGGGGAGAGTCATGCCCCCTTCCTTTAATCAACTGAAAAGCTGACACTTTTAGCAGGGTTTGGTGGCTCACATCTGTAATCCCAGCACTTTGAGAGTTCTGGGCAGGAAGATCACCTGAGGTCAGGAGTTCAAGACCAGCCTGGCCAACATGGTAAAACCACATCTCTACTAAAAATACAAAAAATAACCAGGTGTGGTGGCAAGTGCCTGTAATCCCAGCCACTCAGGAGGCTGAGGCAGGAGAATCACTTGAACCTGGAAGATGGAAGTTGCAGTGAGCTGAGATCTCACCACTGCACTCCAGCTAGGGAGACAGAATGAGACTTTGTCTCAAACAACCAAACAAACAAAAGAAAGCTGATACACTTCAAGATTTAATTTAAGATTTTGATCATTGGCCTATGAGGCAGAGAGATGTTTGTGTTGAACTTGGGCCTGAAAAAGTTTCACATTCATTCTTAGAGAGTATAGGAATTAATTCTGGAATGCCCCTGGCACACTGATTGATGCAGCATTGTAAGGTTGTGTTCACTTTCTTCCCCACCAGGTATCCATCTTCTCTACGGTGAACCCTCCACAGATGTCCCCATTGTGAAGTGTGCTGCATTCTGCTCTTTGCAGGGTGGTTTATTCCCCGCTGCAGTTCGTGAGCACTGGCCGTTTGCACACGGAGCCCTAGCCTTTAGGGGCCAGTGCCCAATTTAAAAATCAATGGAATTAATATAAACATGAGTAAGGTATCAATGGGAAAGTATGATTTACCTTACAAAATCAATTCGTAACTTTCCAAAATGTTTTCTGTTTGGCGAGGCCAGGAGGTTTCCCCTGAAGTAAAAAATTTCTTAAGACCTCAACTCAGTATGAGATACCTGGTTTCCACTTGACTGGCTTTAAGGAGGGGCCCAGTGAATGTTGCTAAAATGAAACTAATGCTGTGTTCATCACCTGTGTACAGTGCTCATGTTCATAACCAAATCTCGAGCTCTTCTGAGATGGTCTCCAAGAGTGTTAAACCAAAGTCAGTTGCCTCATTTGGAGCCTTTGAGAGCATCTCTCTCTTATTTTCAGCAGTCTTTGGTCTCTAAGCGTGTGATGAAGATGCTAGGTATAATAAAGAAAAATTATATGAATATACGACTTTACTGTTAAGAAACAGGAAATTAAGAGATCATTTAAACACATTTTGTGCCAAACCTGCAACATTTTTGGATTTCTTATTATATCTTGGTAATAATACTTCATGTTACATATGTTTACAGTATCTGATTAATTTTAAATTCAGCTATGTTTAAAACCATTTTGTGATTATTGGACATTTTCATCCAGTCAGTATCTTATTTTTCAGATGATTGAAACCTGGCTTTGAAGTGCTATCTGAAGCGTTCTTATGTCTCATACTAAGAAGTCACCTCTTGATTGGCACTTAGCTTTACACATAAGTAGGAGCACTGTGCAATTCTTAAGACATTCCACAGAGAGTGCTACTTCTGTTGTAAATTTGTGCAGTATTGCTGTGTTATGTAAAATACTTTACAAACTGCTACCTTTGCAAAGTTCCCAGTACCCTCACTTGTCAGTGATGGATGGTGATGTTTAAGAGTCCATTTCAGTCGAGGTGTATTTCTCAGTAAAGACAAAGGGACGTTAATGGACTAATAGCTCCATACTGTCGTGCCTGACTTATGTGATACTGCACACGTTGAAGATGGTAGAGCTGGTACTTTGCTTGGCATTCACTGTGCATTTCAGCCCTTTAGTGCATCATCTCCATTCTCACAACAGGTAGTTGATGAGATGTAGCATGTGATCATGGTGCTAGATTTGAGCTCACACCATCTGGTTGCAGATATGTCCCTCTAAACAATCTTGCCAAGTGTCCAGTGTGCTTTAGGTTCCAGGTGCTTCACAGACTTTGGAGGTAAATATTTTCCTACTATTTAGAAGCCATGTGTTTTCAGCGCATTAGATTTTCTGAAGATTTCTCTGAACAAAAGAATTTGCTACAGATACCAGCCAAGGGTTCCTTCTCAGGTTGTTTATCATATAGTGATGCCAAAGAAACCAGTGCTGTGCATCACCTTCTACCTTATCTGGAGCCCTGGACAGGTCACCTATCTGTCTGTGACTTAGGTCGCTGGGCATCGCTTCCAGTTCTCTGATTTAAGGCTTCTGTTAAAGCAGCGGCTGTAGCAATTTGCTTTTTGAATAGGCTTATACATTTTACAAGGACTTTCACTTCAGCGGCCTTGAGGGGTGGAGTAAACTGTTGTATCATCTTCATAGATGAGGCAACAGAAGCATCAGAGAAAGAGACCTCTCAAAGCTACATGGGTGATACCTGAAAAGGCCAGGATACAAGCTCGTCTGCCCCATTTGCTATCACAGCTCCAAAACTTGACCTCTTTCTGGGGCCGTCCCCTCATTGGCTCATTTGCAGAATGAATGAATTGAACTCTAGCAGTGATTTTCAAACCCTATTCCCTGTAGTATTAGGGGATTCAAGGCTGATGGGGATTGAGATTTGGGGCTTTCCTTTAGCCGAAACCACTCTGCATTCATCTGCTTGGCATTCCAATGTTCCACGTTATCTTTACCTTAAATAAAGCTTCTGTAGTTACAAAATACTTTAAAGATTACTGATCCTCAAAGTTTTTATTACATTCTAAACTCCAACCTTTAGGGAACAGTGCCCAATTTAAAAATCAATGGAATTAATATAAATATGAGTAAACTATCAATGGGATAGTATAATTTGACTTACAAAATTAATTTGTAACTTTCCAAAATGGTATCTGTTCAGTGAGGCCAGGAGGCTTCCCCAAAAGTAAAACTCCTTAGGATCTCAACTCAATACCTGATCCCTAGTTCCCACTGGACTGGCTTATAAGAGGGGCCCAGCAAATGTTTCCAAAAGGAAATTAAAAGAAAAAAATTTATTTTGATACTTGTTTTAAGCAATGCACAGGCTATCAAAATGTATTTATTTTATACCTTTGTAGTATCCTAGGATTATAAATATTCTACAATTAATTTTAAAGGACAATCACAATTTTAGTTTCTCCATTGAATCTTATTTTACTTCATTCATACATATATTCAGTGAGTCTTCTCTCTTCCCCAGTCTCTCCATAAATGTTTTCATTATTTTACTGACTTGATGAATTCCCAGTTCCAAATGATGTTTCAAGTCATATATCTAGGTTTAGAACTCCTGCAGTAAAATAGCATTTCTAGACAGAATTCTGAATTCAATGAAACGTGTTTCTTTCTCTCTATAATACATTGTCTGTGTTATCTTCATTCTTGGAAGAGATTTGGGTAGAGGGATTATATATGCTGCTTTTTATGGGATGCTATGAATATGAATACTTATTTAACAAACCAAATTATATTTTTCTCATTCCCCAAACTTTGGAAAGGTTTATGATTTCAATTGATGGCACACACTAGAATTTATGAAGTTACAAGGAAACAGAGCAGCACTTGAGAGTTACGCCTTCATCCTGGGTTCAGCAGCATCCTTACAGTGAAAAGAGAGTGGAGGCGTTTAACTGTATTCCAAGATCAAGTGTTATTTTGTCCAAAAACTATGAGGGATAGACTTCTCTGCTTTTAATCCTTGCTCTTTGATCACAGGGCTCATGGGGTGAAACATTCACACCAGCCTGCTCCCTTGTAAACTTGATCCCTTATAAATCTGTGACATTTTCCCTTCTTACAACAGTTTATATTCTCATGTATATAAATACTGCTTTTGACAGGATAAGAGACTAGTGCCATGAATATTCCTTTAGCAGTGGTAAAAACTCTTCAATAAAGCTTTAAAGTTTTAAGATGACAATCAAATGGTCCAACCAAGGGCAGGAGAAGCTAACATAAAAACCGTCACAGATGAGTGATTTTATTTCACATCAACCCTGTGGTCTTAACGCTGCCTATTGGAGGCACGTTTTTGCATCAGCCATGTGAATTGGTGAACTTTAGTGTTTATGGCTCATAAAGAATTCTTCACTTGAAGGTCATCAGTGGCTAGGCTGTAATTCCTGCAGTTCTGAGAAAATTGGCACTATCAGCCTTGTCATTGGAATTGGGGTCTTTATGTAGATATTTGATGCTTCTGTTTTACTCCCGCGTTCCCTCTGCTGTAGTGCTTAAAACATGATGTCCGAGATCCACACTAATTGGGTTTTGTGGTTTAATTGACTTGTGGGTGCCTTAGATGTAATAGAATCTGATCTCACAGGCGTGACCTTCTACACCCGAGGGTCTTTTCCCTCCCTTGTCACTTTTTCCCCGTTAGCAGACATCATTTTGCTTTGGGATTATTTGATTTGGTGTGATAAATGGATTCAGATTAAAATTAGGATCAAAATAATTACAGCAATTTGAAAAGACATTCATTGGGGAAACACTGTAAACACTCCAACTTCATAATGATAGGATACAGAGATTTGGAGAAAAAGCTATTGTACAGAGGCTCTAATGATAGGTTTTACTTCTGAGTTAAAATTCATTGTAAAAGCTCACATAGCCCTTAGTTATTTTTGATCAGGAGATCATGTTTTAGAAGAAAGCATTTCATGAAAGTAAAATGGCATCAAAACTATTTCTTACTTTGAAAACATACTTTTGCCATTGGCATCTTCTAGAAAATGTTATCTTTTATACATATGTAGTATGATTTCTGTCCGTCTCATATATTAGCAGGATTCAGTAGCAGACTTCCTATTAACTACAGTTGGCTCTTGAACAGCACAGGTTTGAACTGCTCAGGTCTGCTTATATTTTCTTCTGCCTCTGCCACCTCTCAGACAAGACCAACCTCTCCTCTTCCTCTTCTTCCTCTTCCTCAGCCTACTCAAAGTAAGACAGCAAGAATGAAGACCTTTATGATGATCCACTTCCGATTAATGAATAGTAAATATATTTTATCTTTTTTGGGATATTCTTTTATTGGAAGGCAGGAGGGGCGACAGTATCTCACTCTGTCACCCTGGCTAAAGTGCAGTGGCAGAATCTTGGCTCACTGCAGCCTCCGCCTCTCGGGTTCAAGCAATTCTCCTGCATCAGCCTCCCAAGTAGCTGGGACTACAGGTGCATGCTACCATGCCCGGCTAATTTTTGTATTTTTAGTAGAGACGGGGTTTCACTGTGTTGCCTAGCCTGGTCATGAACTCCTGAGCTCAGGCAATCTACCTACCTGCCTTGGCCTACCAAAGTGCTGGGATTACAGGCGTGAGCCACCGCGCCCGGCCTGGGATTTTCTTAATAACATTTTATTTTCTCTGGCTTTCTATATTGTAAGAGTAGGCCATATCATACCTATAACATACAAAAGTTGTGTTAATTGACTGTTTATGTTATCAGCAAGGCTTCCAGTCAACAGGAGGCTATTTGTAGTTAAAGTTATAGGGCAGTTAAAAGTTAGATTTTTTTCAACTGCATGCGGTAGACAGTCAGGGTCTTTAACCCCTGGCATTATTCCAAGGTCCACTGTAGTTTACTCAAAATAAAGGCTGAGGTATCTGTACACCCTTCAGAGAATTCCTTTGAGCATCTCAGTGGTTTCATCTCATTATTTATAAAGATTGACTTGGGATTTTCCCCACAAGGCCTTTGAGCTCAGATTCTATTGGGTGTTTTTTTTGTGGAAAGCAAAAACCATAAACTTAAGACACCCACAAGTAAATTATAATTTTTAATATGAGCAATACTAATAACATTAGATATTAATACTAATACTAATAACCTGTGGTGCGCGGCAGGTGTAGCCAGGCCTTTGCTCTCCTAACCAAGGGTGCTTCTACTAAAGCGTGCTCTTTAGTTAACCAGTCCCTGCAGTGGGCCAAAGGTTAATGCCTCTTCAGAAGGTGAACACCATAAGACAAGATGAGGGCATTTTCATGCTCTTCTCTCCAGGTGAGATTATGAGCAAAGCAAAGCAGAATGAAAACATTTCCCTTAAAGAAATAGGCTCACTGAAGACTCCCTTATTCCAGGATGTGAGCATGCCCAGTGTCAGATTACTTAGCTCCCCTGCCTTTGTTTCCAGCTCCTCTGGGTAGCCTCTCCCTTACCCAAGCGCAGGCAGATTCTCGTCATCACCGGGCATTTATCACAGCTCAGGTGTCCTGCTAGTGCTCACCAAAGCCCAGCTGGATGGCAGGCGTCCTTGCAGCACAGCCCCACGAGGGGTTTTGGCTCAGCCCTCCTCGCTCTCAGATTCCACCTCAGAATTTGATAATCACATCGGCTGTGGCTCATAATGAGATCTGTGGATGACCTTGTCACCACCAGGCTTCCATCAGAGCCCATACCTGATGGTCACTGGCAGACTAAACAAGAGGAAAAAAAAATAAGCTTAGGTAATTTTTACAAATTCATGATAGATGCCCCCCGTCAGCATTCTTATAAAAATACAGTCCTACTGAAACTCATTATTAATGGTGACCCTGAAAATCCAAAATGGGGATCTTGCTTCTCTCCTCGATGTGGGCTCTAGGTTACAAGGAACATGTGAAATGATCCCTGCATGGCAGAGCAGCCTGTTACCATGGAGACAGCTTACTAGTTTCCCAGCCCTCTGGCTAGTTCCAGAGACATTAACTCCATACCAGTCTTAAAGAAATAAAAAGAAGTCTAAGGTTCACTTCTAGCTTTTTATATAGTTATAATTACTGAAAAAAGCACTCAAATTGCAAACTGACTCTTCTCATTTGGAAAGGATTACATTTAATATTATTAATAGTGACCACTGCTAAAAGACTCACATTCTGTTGCTATTAATTGAGCCTGCCTTTTTCATATTTTACTTTCAGGCTTGGTATTACACTCATCTGGAGGAAAGTAATTTTGTTTATTCATACTTTGCTGTTTATTTGTTATTTTTGTCTTTTAAATCTCAAAATCCTTATGGAGACATGCTGTATTTTTCATGCCGACGGGCACTGTGCAGACGGGGTACATCCTTGTTCACTCTTCCCTGTTGACAGTAGATTTTGTGTGCAGTGTTTCTATTCCTGCTGATTTCTTAGTTGAAGATTGGGGTAATACCTCAAGGGATGCACAGTTGTAATAAACTGTGATGTACTTAAATATTTAAATGTAGTTTAAGAAAAATGAATAGAGATTGAGCATCCCAAATCTGAAAATCCAGAGTCCAAAATGCTTCAAAATCTGAAACTTGTTGAATACCCACATGCCACTCAAAGGCAATGCTTATTACAAGTATAATGAAGCTATTCCAAAATTTAAAAAAAATAAAAATTCAAAACACTTCTGGTCCCAAGCATTTCACATAAGTGATACTCAACCTGTATGTAATTACTTAAACCATATTAAACTGTATTTACTATAGTTTAAACATTAAGTACAAGTTTGATTTCACCATATAGGTAATTTTCAGTATATAAATAAATTTTTGAAACTAAGAAAAGTAAGCTTGTCTCTTCAGTCTGTTGAGTCTTGCTTAATACATACCTCAGTTCTGATCTCTCCTGTCCCATCTGGGCAGGTTTAGTACTCTTATACAGCACATTAATTTGCAGATATTTATTGTTACTTTATATAATATATTAAGATTTTAAAATAGATATATAGATATAAATACTGTATGTGTATCCAACTATGTTGTCATTCCTTTCAGAGTAGATCTTACCTATTTCTTTTTGAGGTATTTTCTTAATCTATCTCTTAATGTACATTTTCTACTATGTAGCCTATTGTATTTCACCTAAAAGGGCTTTATGAAGGCTCTGTGTTTTATGTGCTTTATTTCATTTTAAAGATTTCCACTGATTTCTGTCACCCCCTTCAGTCTCTCCTACTACCTGCTGGCTCAGCATCCAGCAACATCACGCTTTTGTTCTAGGGTTCCCATATATTCTGTGAATTTGCCCACTCTTTTTGTCCCCTCCCGAGCCCCCACTCAGTACTGTCTGTCCAAACCTCTCCCTGTCTAATCCCTAATCCCTCTCTCTGTCCCTTCCTTTTCTCTTGTAACTTAGATTTTAGGAAATCTTTGGAAATCAGGGAACTGTAAACTCTGGTCTCCTGGTTCTGTTAATATACAGTGTAAATAGTAATACATTTTACAAACTATAAACACTGAAATTGGTACTTCCTACACTTAGTCTGGTGCTTCCTCCAGATTTTGAAACAAAAAAGTCATGGACTCAGTTTGGGATACTGAAGTTATTCCCGTCAGATACATTCTGAAGCTGGATGGACTCCTTCAAAGAGAGCAAGGGTGTTCTATTTTGTTTCTGTTCTCAACTGACTGTGTTTCATATTGCACAAGTTTTCTAGGGTGCTCTAGCAAAATGCCACAGACTGGGTGGTTGAGACAACAGAAATGTATTGTCTCACAGTGCTGGAGACTGGAAATCTGAGATAAAGGTGTCAGCGAGACTGGTCCCTTCTGGGGGCTGTGAGGGAGAATCTGTGCCACGCCTCCCTCCTGGCTTCTGGTGGTTTGCTGGCCATCTTCAGGGTTTCCTGGCTTGTAAGGGCATCTTCTCCATCTCTGCCGTCATCCTCACATGATGTTCTCCCTGTGCCTGTGTCCAAATTGCCCCTTTTTGTAAGGACACCAGTCCTGTTGGATGAGGGGCCCAGCCTACTCCAGCATGACCTCCTGTTAACTCATTAACTCAGTCAAGACCCTATTTCCAAATGAAGAATGCTACAGTAGAATACAGTCTGAGCTATTGGGGGTTGGGGCTTACCTGAATGAATTTTGGAAGACACAATTCAACCCTTAACACATACCATTACAATTAATAAACATTTTCTAGTCCACGTCTAATCACTGATTTTACAATAAGCAGTGATTTTGTAAATCAGTGATTTTGATCTTGTGTTTGGACCAAAATATAGTACAAATCAAACACAATTGGCGTGAGTACATTTAATAAGTGAAGTCTTGACCGTTTTTGTATTGCCAAGCTCCAAAAAGCAGTCTGATTGTTTACGTGCTTGGAGGGTCCATTTATTTCTAATCATCCTGGCTTAACTTCATTTAAAGAATAAATTGTTTTTAAACTTATGCAAGCAGTTGTTATTCCCTGATGGCAGGTGAAATCTCTAAACACTTTTTAAACCTTTTCATCAAATAGTAATTTCATTTTAACCCAAAAATACCTTTTGATTTTCTTTCTTAAAACATGACCATGATGCATAGTCAATCAGAATAAACCAAAGTATTTATTAATTAGAGCTGTATTGATTTCTACTCTAGGTAAACTGACTTCCTCCAAAATCTAGTATGTTTCATGTTTCAAGAATTAATTTATTAATTTATAAACTCTGCTGCACCGTCATTTAGTCATAGTGGATTGAAGTCACCAGCTGTTAAGACAGTCATGATTGTAAATGGCAGATGGCATCCAGTGGCTCACTGTTGTTTGTGCCTCTTGGTACTCATTTCCCTGAAGCTCCAAGTTTAGCCATGAGGCAGTGATAACTGTCAGTTGGAGTCTCAGAGCTTATGCGTCATTTATTCCCAAGGCAAGGCACTAAAAAGCTATAGCTTGGGCTGTAGCATTTGCCAACTTGTATCTCTGCCATTTAAAACGTGCTCAGAGCCAGGCACAGTGGCTCACACCTGTAATCCCAACACTTTGGGAGGCCACTCTGCTGGATCACCTGAGGGCAGGAGTTCGAGACCAGTATGGCCAACATGGTGAAACCTCATCTCTACTAAAAATACAAAAATTACCCGGATGTGGTGGCACATACCTATAATCCCAGCTTCTTGGGAGGCTGAGGCAGGAGAATCGCTTGAACCTGAGAGGCAGAGCTTGCAGTGAGTAGAGATCACACCATTGCACCACATTTAAAATTTGAAAGGAAAAGAAATCTTCAGTATGAATGCCCCTTTTTGTTATTTTCCAAACCATTGCATCTTACTTTTCCTTTCATTCAATGCTAACTTATTCACCAACACTTTTCAAGAATGTGTTTACATGAAATCAGAGTGAGGATGTTAAGTGACCCAAGACTGCAGATAACTTTGGAACTGCTTCAGTGTAAATCAGAGTGAGTCATCCTGCCTCAGTTATACAGAATGAGCAGCTCTGATGGACAGAACTTGGGAAAGGTAACACAGAGCAGCAAAGGGATATTCCCCAAACTTAATTTCTGTTTGAGAACAAAAATATTGGGAAATTATCCATCTTCAACTTACCATGTTCTTATTGTGTAATTTGATTTTAATGCTGGAGGATTTACCATTGTTTATACAGTGTGATCTTCAATGAAATTTTACCCCTTATGTCCAACTTTTGGTTCAGATTATATCTAAATTAATAGATTAATAATAATAATAATGAGTGTTATTATTATTATTTTTGAGACAGAGTCTCACTCTGTCACCCAGACTGGGCTGCACCCAGTGCAGTGGCATGATCTTGGCTCACGGCAACTTCTGCCTTCCGGATTCAAGTGATTCTCCTGCCTCAGCCTTCTGGGCTGGGACTACAGGCCCGTACCACCATGCCTGGCTAATTTTTTGTATTTTTTGTAGAGACGGGGTTTCACCATGTTGGCCAGGATGGTCTCGATCTCCTGACCTCGTGATCCACTTGCCTCGGCCTCCCAAAGTGCTATTAATAATTATTTTTAAATGTAGTGAAGCAGCATAGATCAGTATGATTCCTGACTATGGAAAAGAATTTATTTGGGCAAGAATTACTGTTACATCTATTACTTGTGTAAATGAATTGATTTCCACCTATGCCATAACAATGTATCTCACAGGCAGCAACTAAGCTGGAGTTGCAGGAGCTTTCTTGTCTGCCACCGCCCTCAGCCTCCGTTCCCCATTGCTGGTGCCCCTGGTACAGTCTGTTCTTTTCACAGTTTGCAATGGGAACTTCTCCATGTCCCTTCTTGAGGGGCCTGCTCATCTTCACCTCTATACAGCCCACAAACTTCTCGCCTGTATCTCTCCTGGTACAGTAGCCACAGTAGCCATGCTATAAACCAAGATGGATGCTGATCAGTTACTCAGGCTAGAAGCTTCAAAACCTTGAAACAGGTTTGAGAAGAGAGCCACACAATTAGAATCATACTTTAGAAGAGTCAGTCAGTCCTCATCTTTACCTGAGCAGCGTTACATAGTACAATGCTTATTATAAAAAGGCCAGTTGAATCAAACAGCTTTGCAAGGCAGAAAAAAACTTCTATTTTGTTTAAAATTAGCTAAACTTTGTAAGGGGCTACAGGAAGGTTTATGCATTTAGCTCAATGAATGCAATATATCAAGAAAGGCGTGTATTTCTATAAGCAAATATTTGTGTCCCTTCTCAGACATATCATTCAACCTTGATAATGAATTACAATCATTTGTACTACTTTAACGCCTTCCAGGTGCTGTAAGATAGGTACAATAATTAGTCCTAATAGTTTTGCATTTCCAGCATATCCTGTTTTCTAACCTGTCACTTCATCCAGCATACATGAATATGAATAAGGATTCAAGTGAACTACATGTCCCTTGGAATCTAATTTGGGAAACCACTTCTAGAAGGCCCCTTCTCATCTGGCCTCCCACAACCCCACACTATTCATTTAATGCCTTTTCTTGAAATTCACATAGTGCTGTCTGCTAAATGTGACACCTTATTTATTACACTCTAATGTAATCATCTGGGTGCCTTGCCCAGCTAGAACACAGCCCCATAGTTGCTGGAACCCTCTTGTTCGTTCTTTCACTCACTTCTCATCGCCTTGAGCAGGACTTACCTGTTATGTATGCTATGGTGAATAAAGACTAAGGAGATATGTTAACTCTTCATCCAGCACCTTATCTTTTGCTTCTCTGCATACCCATATTTCATGCTTTGATTTTTTTCTGCAACTCTAGTCTTTAAAGATTTACCTGTCAACGTAAGAAGCACATTGATTGGATAGGATATTTCCTGGCAATGTAATGTGGAATCATGTGGTTGAAAGGGACGCTGTAGTTCCACCTGTTCTTCTCCAAGAATTGCAGCAAAACATTTACAACCTCATCTGCAGCCATTTTTAAGGAAATTTAATAAAGAGGTGTGAAGAGCACCTGAGAGCAGCCAAGATCCCAAGACAAAGTAGAAACTTACCTACTGAAACTACAAATAAAAATGAAATGTAAATATATCTTTCTATATATGGGCCATTTTCTTGCTCAATCTCTTTGTACCTGCGGGTGGAAGGAAAGGAGAATGGGACTGGATTGAAAGACAGCAATTGTAGATTTTTTCTGACATATGAAATAAATTGCAAATGTTAAGTGTTGTAATAACATGCTTGCAGCCATCTATGTTATTAAGACAGTACTTAATGAGTTTTGAAACAAGTACTCCCCACAGTATTACTACTATTCTTTACTTATATGTGGTAGACATTTTCAAAAAGTCATCATATCTGATTGCCTTTTATGCTGCTGTTCTTTACACATTTGAAATCGTGCTTTTCTAGATGAATACAATCAATCAAAATACAATTACATTGCTTGAGGTACTATTTCAAGAAGTTTCTCTAATGACATGACTCAGTGATTTCTTAAAGGTTAGAAAAACATTTTGTTAATGGAGAAAACTAGAAGTTCACCTTCTCTTGGAAATAAAGGTTGAATTTTAACTGAGTAACTTTGCACAGCCATATCATATTATTGAAATGTATTAGGTGGTAGATTTCTATAGTTGCAGTTCTTTAAAAAAAAAAAAAAAAGAACTTTTTTCCATTGCCTTATTTTTTTACAAAATGAGAGATTCCTCAGATGGATAACCTTCAGCAGTGCAGCCTGAGGGCCATACTTAGCAAGTGGAACTAGGTGCCTTGGGTCAGCATTGTCCTGTGTTAAGGGGAAGTGGTAGTTTCTAAGACTTTTGTAGTTTTCCTAAAATTGCTTTGGGCTCCATGTTACCTAAGGTTGGAGAACAAGTTCTGAAGCTGGATACAGGCAGGTTTCATCACAGCTCTACCACTCAGTATCAGGGTGAGCTCGGAACAATTTAACTCCTGGAAACCTTAGTTTCTTCAGGATTGTGTGGATTAAATGAGAAGATAGATGTAAAGCGCTTAGCATATTCTGATGCTCTGTTGGCTCAATTTTTATTGCATTCAAAAGGATAGTTGAAGTCAGACACAGTGGCTTACACCTGTAATCCCAGATGGGGAACATTGCTTGAGCCCAGAAGGTCAAGTCTGCGTTGAGCCATGATCACACCACTACACTCCAGCCTGGGCAACAGAGTGAAACCTTGTCTCAAAACGAATGAATGAATGAATGAATGAATGAATGAATTTTTTTTTATTTTTATTTTTATTTTATTTTTTTGAGACGGAGTTTCGCTCGTTACCCAGGCTGGAGTGCAATGGCGCGATCTCGGCTCACCGCAACCTCCGCCTCCTGGGTTCAGGCAATTCTCCTGCCTCAGCCTCCTGAGTAGCTGGGATTACAGGCACATGCCACCATGCCCAGCTAATTTTTTGTATTTTTAGTAGAGACGGGGTTTCACCATGTTGACCAGGATGGTCTCGATCTCTTGACCTCATGATCCACCCAACTCGGCCTCCCAAATTGCTGGGATTACAGGTGTGAGCCACCGCGCCCAGCCATGAATGAATTCTTTAAAAAGGATAGTTGATTTATTTTTCAGAACTTTATTTTTCCTATATACAGATGCCTTTTTCAACTTTGAATGTCTCTGCAAAGCTTGGGAATTTGATTGTTGCCCCATTATAAGTAAATACACTGTTGTAGTCCATTGAATTAGAACAAAAGTGTCCACTGAATTTGAATTCCATCCCATCACTACTTTTCACTTTGCAGGCTTTCAATCTGCATTAATTTCAGTTTCTTTATTTTAGTTAAATAAAACCAGTTCCCTAATATCACAGTTCAAATCTTAGTTACCATAGTATATTAACTATAATTAGATAAAGTGCAAGCCTCATAATTAGGTCTTCATTCCCCAAAACACTCTGTAAATAGCAGGGGTTATTTACAGATAATAACATGATCAATGACCAATCATGCCCCTTCTTTCCCTGTCAGTGATGGGTCTGTGCACATTTGTTACTCAGTTTTCACACAGACAGGAAAGATTGTCCTTGTGTTGCCTCCCCCCAATGGTGATAACTCACGTAGAATTTTACAAAAATAGCTTTAAAAGATGGAATTCATCAACAAAGATGGAAACACAGCAGGGCAATGAAAAGTGATAACAAATGTAGTCAAATTAGAATCAAGCATATGTAAAAGAAATAGCTGGCGGTGGGGATGTTGACACTTCTGGCACTCTAGATGATGTTTCAGGAGACTCTAGAAACGCTGACAGGAACCCAGGAAAGGTGGACTCAACATAAATGAGGAATGGGGTTTTGACAGAAAGGACAGTGATGTCTTAGGGGACATGATGTCATCAAAAAGCTTTCCATTAATGGAGTTCTCAGAAAGCACAAAGGAGAAAATGTTAGAAGCTGACCTCAACTTAAGGGCAATTGGCCAAGCATGAAAAAGATGCTCACATCGTATCGTATACTATGTGATGGGATGAAGAAGTCACACACCCATTCGGAGTACTCTTGATACATTTTTAAAACTGGAAAACTGAAAGTCTAAAAGCTCAGTGTGTTTGTATTGTAGAGTGTTTTCTAGCATTCATTTCCATATACATTTATAACTGATGATAAGAGAGTTTTAACACTTTCACAAAAAGTTTTAAAAGGTCACAGAAGAGCCATACTTTTTGCCATTGATTATTAAGTACTCATTGCATGGTTTTGGGTTATATAGTTATTTGTACAGTCATAACCTCAGAAAGCAGGGACTGGCGTAGTAAAAAAAAGAAAAAGTCAAACCAATACTGTTGCCATCTGGATTTTATATTACCGAAAAATTAGTTAACACAATCTCCTTAATGTTATCAACAGTTTCAAGTACTTTCCCAGCCTGTTAAAGGCAATTTAGTAATAGATATCTTACTGATTATAGAACTTGACTTTCTAATATTTGCTATTTTTAATTTTCAAAAAGTCCTGAAATTAAATATTCAAACTCATATATTTATGGTACTTTTAGTGGAATGTTTTTGCAATGTAAAAGTTTTTTGTTGTTGTTCTTTTCATTTTAAAAGAAGGCCCTCCAGGATTCTCCATCAGCAAACAGCCAAGCCACCGCATTATACATAACAAATTTTAGTGACAGTTCTAGTCCCTTGGGGGTGAGAAATAAAGTCTCGTTTGCTCATTTAAGTCAACAAGCTGTGGGATTTATTGTGTATTTCATAGTAAACACACAGAATGTTTTGATTTTTAAAAGTCTAAAATAATTGAAACTGTCTTGTGTCATTGAACCCTATAATAAATACCTATAATTGAAAACCTCAAAATTGGTTGGTTTTGAAAGATGTTAGTATAATGCATAATAATAAGCGCCTCTGGATTATTTTTAATGCATCAGATCCTGTGCTATGATCTGTGTAAGAGAAAGGAGCCCTGATTACAGTTTTGGAGAATGTTCCCAGTGCCCCCAGCATGCCCACGGTGGATACCACATCATTATGCTGTGCTCTGAGGGACCTCATTCTGACAACATGCTTGGTTACATACAGTAATGAAAAGCCTTGTTTGGGAAACATTTGTGCTTTTAAATATTGGTTTCATCATGTCCAGGGAATGAAGCTGATTTAAACATAGCTCACAGTAAATCTGAGAGTGGAAAGTTTGATTTTACCCATTACTCCTTCTAAATTTTTATTAATGTAACTTCCCAAACTATTGTGTAGCAGAGAAACTGGTTGAATTTGTTCTTCCAGGGAAAAAGGGTCCTCTTTATAGCATGAATTTCTATGAAGTTTTTCATGTAATATATTTTGTCCTTTGTATTCATCACCTTTACAACGAAAAACTTATAAAGTTCTTACTCTAAAACATTTTGTCTGAGCCCGGGGTGAAGATTACTATAAGGAATGATTGAGCAACAAGATGCCTGTGATAGTCAAGGAAAAAGTCAAAATGTTGATTCTGAAGACCCTTTGCTAATTCTCAAATTCTGGTTGTTTTTATTTTCATCCATAAACAAGGGCAATTTCAGGAATAGGAAGAAGGAGGAACACGGAGCCTCAGCCAGCATTGACATGGGTGATACCTTCAGAATGTTTATAGGAGCACAAAAAGCCTGGTGTCACTTGCTGGCAGGCCTTAACTTCAGATTTGACCTTAAACAACACATAGAACCTCTCCTTTGGCTCGAATCCCATGTGAGGCTTCCCGCCATATTCAGGTAAATGGATGGCTTGGATCGAGGCTGCTCCTGACCTCAAATAGTAGACCAGCCCCCATGGCTTTCCTGGCCTGGTCTCCTCAGCTCTGGAGGGTGGCCTGAAAGCTCCAGATGATTCCAGGAGTACAGCCTGCTCCATGACAGGCCTCAGGTAACGGCTCCTACTCCTCCTGTCTCACCTGGTGGTGGTGAATTCCCCACACTTAATGGGTCATGACTGGGCTCAGACTGTCCTTTTGCTCAGAGGGCTTGTCCCTTCTCTCACTTTTCCATTTTGTGAACCACAGTGAAAATGTTGAGAATTCATTCCCGTACTTCCCAGGAGCTGCATTCCTACTTCACCGGGGTTCTGGAAATAATTTATTTTCAACTGTGGTTCCTCCTGTTTGTTGGGTGCCCTTTATGTGCAAGGCACTATCTCAACCCACCCAACAACCCTATTCAACCCTATTTAGTACAGATTCTAATTGGTGAAGAAATTCAACTTAGTAAACAGAGGAATTTGGATTGAAACGCCTTTCCTTTTTTACCTCTTACAGCACATCACGCGTTGTGTCATTGTTTGCCTGCTTCGTTTCTGTCTTCCGTACTAGACTAGGAACTCTTCTGTGTCTTATCTGTTAATGACTTCCACTCCCATCCCAAGCATCCCCATGCTTGGCCCACAGCCCTTGTTACATAAATGTTTATCTTGCAGGACCAATGAGTGAATGAATGGAAGTTTAAGTCAATTACCAACCGGTTACAGAGTAAGAACAGAGGCCGCAAGAAAGATGAAAATCCAATTTTACGAATTTAACATAATATTTACAAGAATAATTTTTTGCTGTACAAATTTGGCCATGGTGAGAATCTATGTAAATATAACTCGTAAAGACTCCAGGACTTAATTTACTTTTTAGTCTTAAAGGAAAGGCACAGTAGCTGTTTTTGTGAGTGGCACAGAAAAGTGTTTCTGTTTCCTATGATACTAATCCTGCACAAGTTTTTTCTTTTGGTTACTGTCTAGGGGTATATGAGGGAAGTGTGGGGAGGAAGGTTTGTTGGTGTTCCCTTGGCTTATACTCCTCCCCAAAGCTGTGCTCCACTGGCACAGCCGAAGAGGGACAGACAGGAAAACGAGGTCAGGAATCCTGGACAGCAGAAAGGTGCCTGGGATACCCATGGGGGATCCAAAGGGCCAGCAGGCATTCCCAGCGACATCAGAAACATGAAAGGTTGTAGGGTGGCCAGAGCCATCAGCCTGCCAAAATCGTGGACTCAGACTAAATAGCATCCTGCTGCCTTCCCATCATTAACCTGCCCTTTTATGCAATTGATTTATTGTGGGAGAAAACAGTTCACTGTGAGTTATTCAGTGATTACTTACTCAGAAGCTGTAGAGTGGCTCAGCGACAGGGACAAATGAAAATCCAGAACATCATGTTCTTTAAGTTTACTACGATGATTCTTCTCTTCCATCACTTTCTATAAGCAACACAATGGGGACAGAATTCCCTGAAAAACTAAGATACAGGACACCACAAAGGCCTGAAGCTTCCGTCCAAAAGAAGTAATCTGGGTTGGAGCTAGTGGGGATTAAGCCTGCTCTTGATTTCGGACTCATTTTTTATATTTGGACTGTTTAAAATTACTTATCCAAGATCCTCCAAGGCAGATGATTATATTATCATACTCATTTGTTGGGGAGAGTAGGGAGTTGTAATTATTAGTCTAATTTGCCCCAAACCAGAAAGTACTACTAAATTCTATGATTAGAAAAAGGAGAAGGAAATCTGAGTTTATATGGAAAAGTATTTACTTATGATATTATTCTGCATTTTAAATAGTACAGAAGAAAAAGGAAAGAATCTAGTTAAGATGCTTAAAATTTGAATTTCTTCTTTGGAGAATCTATGACTAAAATGCCTCAGAATGTGTTATGATCATATTTGAAAAAGTAAAATATTATACTGATTTATGTATAGTGAAATCTAGTTGAGCTTTAAGTAAAAGTGATAGTATTTCAAAGATACTTTACCCGGTAGCATTCTTTTTTTTTTGAGTTGTACTCTCACTCTGTTGCCCGGGCTGGAGTGCAGTGGCGTGATCTCAGCTCACTGCAACCTCCACCTCCCAAAAAGTTTAAAGTTTAAAATTAGTATCTTCAGCTGGGCACTGTGGCTCATTCCTGGGGTTCCGGCACCTTGGGAGGCCAAGGCGGATAGATCACCTGAGGACAGGATTTGAGACAAGCCTGGCCAATGTATAGTGAAACCCCATCTGTACTAAAAAAAAAAAAATAGAAAAATTCACTGGGTGTGGTGGAGCATGCCTATAGTCCCAGCTACTTGGGAAGCTGAGGCAGGAGAATTGCTTGAACGTGGGAGGCAGAGGTTGCAGTGAGCCAAGATTGTGCCACTGCACTCCAGCATGGGTGACTGAGCAAGACTCCATATCTCAAAAAATAAAATAAATAAAAATAAAACATAAATTAGTATCTTCACATCAACAGCTTACCTAATAATTTTTACAAACATGCTCCACCTTATATTTGTTTGGAAAATCAAGACTTCTGAAGTCTGGACCATCACAGGCTTTACCTTGAGCATTCGTCTGTAGCATTAGTAACAGCCCCAGCTCGTCCTGCAGCTGAACTTCACCTGTGTGGTGATTTGACTTTTGCACAGTGCAAGGTGATGGTCAGGGTCCCCTGGACCACACCCCTGGGCTCTCCTGGGGTTTGTCACCCACTTTGCTGGAGTACAGCTTGGCCCCATCTGATCCTGTTCCATATGAGTGCTGGTTCTCATCAATAGCCTCTAGGAGTACTTTTTTTAACAATATATTCTTAAGATTCCTAAAGGAAATATATCTGGGTTTATTATTTTAAGGTATCTTCTAAAGTTTTCTGCATAAGTGTCTTAGTCCACTTGGGCTGCTGTAATAAAATACCATACCCTTGAGTAGCTTAAATTATGGACATTTGTTTGCCGTAGTGCTGAGGCTGAAAAGTCCAAGACCAAGATGCCAACAGATTTGGTGTCTACTGAAGCCCCACTTCTGGGCGCACAGATGGACATCTTTTCACTGTGTCCTGAAGTGGTGGAAGGAAAGAACTCTTTTCTCTTCAGCCTTACAAGGACACCATTCCCATTCATGGGGGTGGGGCTCTGCCCTCATGATTTAATCACTTCCCAAAGATCTTGCCCTTTATTTAAATTTTATCAGTTTATAATGAAAATTCTACATATGATTACCTTATTCCTGCATGTTTTCAGTTGTTTCTTCCTTGTGTTTGCCCTTTCTCGTGCCTGCTTGGTGAGAATTGGCTTTCTGTCCAAGCATCTTTTTTCAGTCTCTGTTCAGTTCTAGCCTAGAAGTAGCACCTTGCTGGAGTGAATGCCCATGTGGACAGTTGTGCCATTATCCTTTTCCCACTGCACCTGCTCAGCGTAGATGACATATTTCTTCCTGTAAACCTGGACTGCCTTGCCAGTTTGCTGACATTTATAGTGTCCTCACACAGCCTGAACTTCATCATCCTTTCAGATGAGCATGGATCGAACATTGGACTTCTGTGTCAGCTCTTTGGAAACAGGGGAAGACATATCTTCCTGTGAATGTGGAAAGGTGCCTTGAAATGCCTTTTTGTGGTTCTTGCTTCCATCAAAAGTCACAAAGGGATTAAACTTCATTTTTGCCGCTACCACTTCAGCAATAGCCACAAAAGGGAAGACCTTCTTTCTCTTAATACTCTCACATTGAGGATTAGGTTTCAACATATGAATTTGGGGGACACACATTCAGACCACAGTGGTAAAGAAATAAATCTCTGACTGGGAGTGATTCATTAATAAAGAAGTGTCTGCTGGGCCCAGATTTTTAATGGCACTTCATAGGTTTTCATTTCTCTAGTTGCTTTAGATTCATGTCTTAGCTAAAACTTCATAAAGCAAGGAAAGAAGATAAATGGCAGAGGAGAGCATAAGTGACTTCTTGGTATTACATCATGCCTTAAAAGTCTATGCTCACTTACAGTTCTTTGTCTCTTTATTTTGGTAATCTGTGTTTTAAAGTAACTCACTGCCCTGCCATTGTCATCTGCACATTTGATAGGTCTGCTCTAGCTTAACCTCTGGGTCTTTAATGAGTATGCCCTGTCTCTTAAAAGAAAGAAAAATCATTCAATGGCTAATATTTGTACAGGGAGATACTATTTTCCCAGACATTTATATGATGTGAAACAGAATCAGAAGTCTTGATAGATCTGTCCATGACTTGCCCCCTGTCTATGGGAAGGGCTTTTATTGGTCTGAGAGGGTTACTATGAGAAGCCACAGTTGCTATTCCTCAATAATAAAATAGATTGATATTAAATAATTATTTATTCTGGTAATGATATAAGAACAAATAATGTATTTCCGTGAATTCTCAGAATTTTTTTTTTAAAAGCTGTAGTTATATAACACTCAGAAATCTATGCTGGCTTTCCCAAGTATATTCACCCTACCCTGGGTGTCATCGTCTCAGCCAGCCTCATGCTGACCTCAGTAGCTATGTGATCTTGAAATTGCTGCTCCAGGTTCACCTCTCTTGAATCCCAGGCATTCTATGTAAGGCTTATTTTTCTGGACTCAAACAGCAAAGGGGAGTTCCCTTCTCAATTACCTGAACACGTTGGGGAGGATTTAGACATCTCTGCTGGCAACAAGGTGAGAGACCAAACTACTAGGTGAAGGGACAAGGGTTGAATATCAATGTGAGCACTAGACCCTGTTCTAAATGTGTCCCATGTGGAAATTCATTTAATTCTGACAATAATCCTAGGAGGCTAGCAATATGTTATCTCTTTTTGAAGATGAGGAAACTGAGACCCAGAGAATTTGAGTAGCTGCTGAAGGACATTCAGCTAGTCATACAGAGCATTTAAACCCAGCAGGTTGTCTCAGCTCCGTGTTGTATTGCCCTCTGATGAAAGGCAGCAAGGGAGATGGTCTTCACTGGAATCAGACCTCTAGAATTCCTGAGTGCTTTGGGGTCACCAGTCCTCTCTATTGGAAAGTTGTGGGTTTTTTTTTTTAATTCATAACTGGATCACTGTAAATTATAGGCAAATCCACTTTCTGCAGAATATGTGACTCATCTTGACTAACACTATTTTCCAAAATATCTCATTGCTCATCAGCTTGTGCCCACCCAATGCCCCACCCTGGCCAATATCTTAAAGACTACTTTCCTGGCTCAATTTTCATTTTCTTTAGAATGACAAAAAGTAATTCCTTTTGAATATACTTTGTGCAACTAAAAAATGCTATTAATACACTGTCTTCCCCAGACAATGAATTCTATACACAGCACCGGTGGACGTGAGCATATACACACATACGCATGCACACACGCATGCACGCATGCACGCACACACGCGCACACACACACAGACATACACTAGCCAAAAGCAGAGCTTGAGTGTTTTTTTATTATTTATTTATTCATTTATTTTGAGACATTTTCTCTCTTTGTCACCCAGACTGGAGTACAGTGGCATGATCTCCGCTCACTGCAACCTCCGCCTCCCAGGTTCAATCAATTCTTGTGCCTCAGCCTCCCAAGTAGCTGAGACTATAGGCCTGTGCCACCATGTCTAGCTAATTTTTGTATTTTTAGTAGAGACAGGGTTTCACCATGTTGGCCAAGCTGGTCTTGAACTCCTGGTGTCAAGTGATCCACTGGCCTTTGCTTCCCAAAGTTCTGGGATTACAGCTGAGTCTTGAAGTATATACGAGCATCCTGGGACTTTTGCTCATCCTCGGCCTTTATCTTCCAGACTTCAGTGCTGTACAGCAGATGGCTACTGATCCAGTGTACCTTATTCAGGTGTTGAGAAATGTATTATGCTGAGCATAACTTAGGCTAGGAAGAAACTTTTTATTCCAGATAAAAAGTAGTATTAGCAGAGGTAGAATAGCGTAGTGATGATAACCTGGGATTTAGAAGGCAGAGGAAAGCCTGGATCGGAGTCCTAGCTCAGCCACTTGGAAGCATTTTGAACTCTGGCCGATTTGTTGGCTTGTTTAACGGGATATTTGTAAACACTGTGTACCAGGTCCGGTTCTAGGCTCTGGGAAGGCAGAACACAAAACAGATCAAGGCTACTTAAATACCAGTATGGAAGACATAAATAAATAAATGCCTGGTAACCAACTGGCTGCACTTTTAAAATATATTCAGAAAACAACCAGATTTCTCCACTGCCATCACAGTTTAAACCCCTCATCGCAGTAGCCTGTTAACTGGTTCCTGCTTCTGTTCTGCCGTTCTGCAATCCGTTTCCAACAGAGCATTCAGAAAGCTCCTTCTAACCCATGAGTCTGAGCCCTCTCTCCTGGGCACAAAACCTCACAGTAGAGTCCCATTCTCCTTGAAGACAGCCGTGGTCCTTGACACGTTGTGTCCATTAGCTCCACCTCCTTCCTCCCATGCCAGCATACCTGTGTCTCCAGGCCTCTGCACTGGTCTTTCCCCCTCATCGCTGTTGTTACTCCTTTATCTCCTTCATGACTCGGTATCCCCTTCTCAATGAAACTTTTCTTGTTTGGCAGACAGAATAATGCCTGAATAAGGAAGGACCTAACCCACCTGTTTCATCTACAAATATGCCAACCCTAATATTCAGACCAGATATATTTCTTAATACTTTTAAGTCTTCTGTAACTCATCAGTGGAATAAGCTTATTTTGAAGTGTTTGGGAGTCCTATTCCTTCCAGACACTGAAACTTGAATGTGTCATGATAGTAAACCAAGAGATGGTAAATGAATGAACATTTAGTCTTCAGGAAGAGATAAGAAAAGACAAGTAAATTACCTTATTTGTTTTTGTCCAAAATATATTTCATTTAAGGCTTATAATTCTCAATTCTCGAGGCTGGAGAACAGATTGTAGAGCTTCAGGAATGGTTTAACTCAAAACCATTTCAAGCTTCTTAATGTGATGCATACAGCATTTGGGGACTGCCTCCAGGAGCATAAGCCTAGCTGGTCCCTCAAGACCTAAAGAAAAGCAAGTGAGAAGGTGAATGCAATTCTCAGGATCTGATGGGATGGCTGAAAGCAAAGAGCCTCTATTGTGGCAGGTTTATTTTACAGCATTTTTGTGCTGCTCTGTCCAGAATCCCTTAACCAATGTGAGGGAAAAGTCAATGTTAGGTAAACCAATTAGGGAATCTCAGTGAGGTATTTTCTCAGAGACCAATAAAGCAGAAGCTAGCAGAGCTACCTGAGAAGGGCTGATGTGATTCAATGTGGCACTTTCTTGGTGGCAGCTGGACACAGATATGAAAACAAAGAGTACTTTGTTCGAGTTTACGCCCCAGTGGGATGATCCATGAACCAGTATTTGAGAAAAGAGTCAGAAGAAAATTCTGCAGAAAAGGCTGCAGAATCCTCAGCTTTGCCAAATAAACACAGAGCGACAGAACTACTGCCAAAAGCAGGGGTGGCAAATTTGGGGGAGGCCTTAACCTCTCAGCACCTCGATTTCTTCCTTGGCTGCATGGTATTCATGAGAAGCATCTATAGTGAAGCCAGCCTGCGTTGTTCAAATTCCAGCTCCATCTCTCTCTAGCTAAGGTAGAGCAAGTGATTTCTTGGGTAAAGTACTGAACGTCTTGGCATCCTGGGGCCTCATTTACTTCATTTGTAAAATAAAGGGTAGTGATAGCCCCTGTCTCATAGAGTTAGTATGTTCATATTTGCAAAACTCCTTAGAGCAGTTCTGGCACATAGTAAGCACGATCTGAATGCTATTTCTATAATTATTATTAGTATGTAGTATGTGCCTAATGACTATGTATATTAATAAACAGTCTATAAGCAGAAGGTATTTTTGCAATTTATTTAATTTGCATTAAACTTCATAGAGAGTTCTCTGTTAAACTCTTTCAGAAAACTAAAGGACATTACATACAGGACAGCATGTGTAAAATTTAAATTTAAAAGTATCTATCTATCTAGATAATTATGCAATAGTGTCAAATCTCAGTTTCCAGAAAGTATCAGAGAGATTCTAGAGTAAGATCTTTGGATGCAAAAAAGATAAATCCTGTGTTCACAAATGTCATTAGCTTTAAGTTTAGCCTTAAGTTTTAAAAATGTTTACCCCGTTGTCATTAATCTCTTCATTGATAATAATGCTATTTCCAAGGGACCTAATTCAAAATGTTTCTTCTCTCTTTTCTCCTCTCTCCACTGACCTTGTTCGGTGACATTACTTTTCAGACATTTGATGAATGAGCATGTTCTGTCCTGGAAATGCCAACGCAGATTGATAACGCCAGGGAGCAAGCCTCAGTCAGATCTTAAGAGCCAGAAAGCTCTGCAGATTTACTAACCATGAGAATGGAAACTAGCCACATTCCAGGACATTCAGATTTCACTCTTCCCATCCCAAAATGGGTGATATTTCTTGAAGCAGGTGGGGGAAACCAAATTTCAGATCAGATCTGGGTGCTTACCGGAAGATTAGCAGTGGGAAGTTTCTTCAGACTAGCTTAAGTAGAAAGCCTCATTGCAGATGCTTGCTTCTGGGGTGGGGGGGCATGCTATCTGGGGCCGAACGGCTTCCAAAGTGGCTGCACTAAGGAGACTGTTTAGCCTCAACACATTCACGTTTTTAGTTACAAAGAAGCAGCACACCTTGTAAGCAGCATCAGTTGTGAGCATCTTCCAGGCCACTTATGGGTTAAAAAACTCCAAAAATCCCCCTTTGAAACTGTAAAAGTTTGAAAAGTGCCTCCAGCACTGTAATGGGATGAGGCAGGATGAGCCTCCTCCTTCTTAGAGACACAACTTCAGATGTTATTTTGCAGCAGCTTGGGGAACACTATTTCTCTTCACTACCCTGAAACAGATAGTGCAGTCCTCATAAGTTGAAAAGCTACTCAACCGCATTCGTGCTGCTGGCCTTGCAATCTCATTTTTAGATTCTTGTTTTAACGTTACCTACAGACATTATTCTTACATGTTACTTTGAGCATTCAGAATTAAAATTATTCATGATTTTCTGAAGAAATGAGATAATGGCATCCTTTAGAAACCAAAAAACAAACACTCTGAAATGTGCCTGTTCACTTGCCCCTTACTTGGGGTGGCTCGCCTGAAATCCAGAACGGAGCCAACCAAAGCAGGCAGCGTTCCTGAAGAAAGTTCGTGCGCATGCCCTCCCTTTTCTGCTCTCTTAACTTATTTTCTCTTAATTTGAGTTTACAGGGTGGCTTAGTTCGAGCTGCTGTAACAAAATACTTCGGACTGGGTGATTTATAAACAACAGAAGTTTATTGCTCAGTTCTGGAGGCGGGAAAGTCCAAGTTCAAGGCGTCAGCAGATTTAGTGTCTGGTGAGGGCTCATTCCTCATAGATGGTGACTTCTTGCTGTGTCCTTGAGGGGAAGGGACAAGCACATCCTCTCAAGCCTCTTTTATAAAAGGATACTAATCCCATTCATGAGACTGATGCCCTCATGATCTAATCACCACCTAAAGGCTACACTTTTTAAAACTATTGCACTGGAGGTTAGGTTTCAACATATGAATTTTGTGGGGGACACATCTAGACGATACTGGGGGAAATAGTGGTATGTAAATTTCTCACTGACTGAAGATCTAACATTCCAATAACTTGGTTCTACTTGCAAGGGTACTTATAGTCTTGTTGCAGTCACTATAGGGTATATCCAGACCCCTCTGATAGCTTTGATTCTTCGCACTGACCTGTCTGCAGAGATTCCTCAGGGGTGTACTGCTTCCCAGGCTGGCCTGTGAAAGACAGTAGGTGACCACTCTGGTTGCTGCAGCCCTTTGGTAGTTACTGCACCCGGCATCCTGCTAAGCACTCTGTGTGGGTTATCTCCTACATTCTCAGTGACCTGGTAAGGCTGGTTATGATCATCCCTCCTTTACTATGGAGAAAACCAAGACTCAGATTTGGATAAATAACCTGCTTCTGAGAAATGTAGCCAGTAAGCCACAGAGCCCAGGGCCAAGCCAAGGTCCTTCCGACTTCCAAATTCATACTTTAAGTCAACATTTGTACATCTCAGAATTGTGTCCTAGACTCAGTGACTCTGAGGGCACCTTCCCCAAGGGCACATGGTTTCTAACTAGAGTGAGGAAATATGAACCACATGACTGGAGCATATTTACAGAAGATAGGCAAACTATGTTTGCACATAAATATTTTATCATTATTTCAAATACCTGATCCATAGCCTACAGCTTTCTTAATGAGATTGCTTTAGGAAACCTTCTTTATGTGGAAAGAGGGTTTTTCATCTTCCTGATCTAGCCCCTCTCATCTGAATTATCCACTTTTTCATCTCCCCGGTCTAGCCCCTCTCATCTGAATTATCTACTTTTTCATCTCCCTGGTCTAGCCTCTCTCATCTGAATTATCCTGAACTGTGGCATGCTGAGGAATAACGGAGAATGTAGGAATAAGAGAATAACTCCACTAACAACCATTATCTACTGGAAGAAATTCCGGGCAAGGCACTTCAGGAAGTGCCTCTGGTATTTCAACAGGTGAACATCTTTCTGTGTAATTTATTTTTGTGTTGGAACACGAACTTACAGATTGCTGGATCCCATCCCAGAAGTGGCTATCCCTCCACTGCAGATAAGAATAAGAGCTCTGAGGGTGGGACTGCCAGCCCATATTGTTGAAATTTTGATTTATTACCCAAGAGTTGTGTTCTAAAGAATCCCTCATTTAAGGTACATGTTTCTGGGATCCATGAAATTCCCAAGGTGAAGAAACAAGAATGGATGTAACTGGGCTAGATCGAAGACTGGGAGAATAGGTGATAGTTATTGAAAAGCCTGGCAGGGTGGGGGCTGACATCGAAATCCCCCGAAGCCCACTCCCTCTCAGCCAACATCCAAGCAAGGTAGAGTATCCCCATAAGAAACCTGGGAGAAACATGCTGCTCCCCTTCAGTTACACCCTTTGTTCTTTCAGTCATTTAAATATTTGATTATACAGGGATACAAGGGTGAGTGATGTCTTCTGGAGCTTGCTTAGTTACAGTGCAGGAGACAGAGAGTAAATGTAGATTTTAGTTAGTGGCAAGTTCATGCAGAAAAATTGGCCCTGTGATAGGATGAAGCAGGATGAGCCTACGGGTACTGTGTGGCTCCAGGGCTGGGGAGGTGCCATGCAAACAGGAAAGCCAGAGGCCCATTGATCTTTGTTGTCCACAGGCACCACTGCAGATGCAGCTTCAGTGGTCTCACTGATAGAACAGCATATTAATGCATTTGATGTATTCTCCTGTGGGTCTCAGAAGTCGAGTAGAGCTCATCAAAGTAAAGTATTTGTGTTTCAGCCAATATTAGTTTCCCAGATTCCAAGCACCCATATGAGAATGCTTCATTTAGTAAGTTTTGAATCCATAAGATTTACTCTGTAGTGTATGGAAAACCTGTAGTAATATTTTAAACTTATTTTTAAATTGTCTTTCCCCTTGAATTGCCCGATGGATATGCCAGATGGCAGAAATTATATAAAGTTGGGAGTCTTTATAATTAGTTTACTTTTTAAGTTAATTTTATTATGACAATCAATATAGCTACACATTCTGCATACTATCCTGTAACCATGCCTCTTTGGTTATAGACAAAGTCCTTTTTTATAGAGTTAATGACCTCCCTTTTGTCTTTTGCCTTATTTTTTAATATACCTGGAGTCAGATTATTTTCCCACCTGCTCCAGCATTTCTGCCATATGCCTTTGCATAATATTTCATGTGTGCTCATACAGACCTCTTTCCTGGATCTCTATTCCAGGGTCATTTCTGGGCCAGTTGCTCTCTAAGCTGCTCCAACAGCTGCTGTGCTGTGACTTCTCATCAACAGAATGTGGGAACCGCCTTGGGCTGCCATTCTGGATGGAATCCCCTCTTTTCTTGGATCTCTTATCTTTTTCTTTGTAGGTTTATTCTCTCACCTTACTGAAGCACATCCTCTGTAAGCCTCCTAAGTAAAGGTGCCTAGGATCTCTGCATACCACAAGTATCTTTATTCTTTTGAATCTCTGCATACCACAAGTATTGTTATTGTAACCTTTTCCTTGAAGAAGGACCTTCTGAGCATAAAACTGTAGGTTAATAATTATTGTCTCTTAAAAATCATTTCCCTCAATTCTGAAGACATTAAATGTTCTTTTTAAGTACAGTGCCATTTGGATTGCTGAATGTGCCCTGATTTTTCTCTAGTAGCTTTTAAAGATCCTCTCTTTGTCCCTCATGCTCTGGACTTTTACAGAAATTTACCTCACTGTGGATTTTTGTTTCTTTTTTCTCTGGATACTCCAGCCTTAGGTACTTGTATCCCTTCATCAGACTAACTTTTTGATGTTATTATTTCTTAATTATTTCTTAATGCCTTCATCTGACTAACTTCTTGATATTATTTCTTAATTTTGATATTATTTCTTAATTATTTCTTAATCCCTTCATCTGACTTTTTGATATTATTTCTTAATTTTGATATTATTTCTTATTTCTTAATCCCTTCATCTGACTAACTTTTTGATATTATTTCTTAATTTTGATATTATTTCTTAATTATTTCTTAATCCCTTCATCTGACTAACTTTTTGATATTATTTCTTAATTTTGATATTATTTCTTAATTATTTCTTAATCCCTTCATCTGACTAACTTTTTGATATTATTTCTTATTTCAATTTCTCCCCTTCGGTATCTTCTATTCCCCTTGCTTATAACTGTTATTACTTGCGCACTGAGTCTGCTGGGATGAATCCTCTAATTGTTATTATCTTTTCTTTCTAATTTTCTAACTTTTGTCATTTTACTTTCTAGGAGACTTCCTTGACATTTCTTCAAACCTACCTATTGAATCTTTAAATTTTAATTATTTATTTAATTTCCAAAGCTTATTTTTGCCTCTTTCTGTTGTTGGGTTTTTTTAAAGAGCATTTGCTTTTTATTTTAGGACTACAAAAACTTCACTTATTTCTGTATTTTATTTCCTAGGCCATTTGAAGTTCTCTGCAAATGTCCTTGGCATATCTTGTTTTCCTTCAGGTCGCTTTTGTTCTGTTTGATTATTTGAATAGTCTGTGGCTTTCATGTTAGAAGTTTGGCTGCCCATTACCACTTAAAAGGGAGTTCCTAAAAATCAGAGTGGAATCTCCGTGTGTGGAGGCGGGAGTTGCTGATGATGGAGAGTGCTGTATGAAATCATATGCAGAGCTGACTTTTTCCGAATTAGAAACCCTAACTTCAGCAGGCGTCTCCTCCAGATCATACCTTCCCAGGACTGATCAGTTTCTTTAGAGGGAAAAATAATTCCTTCCTGGAAAATGTCCTGTGTCCTGCTCCTGGCCTTGTGAGAGCTCAGCAGAGCGAGGAGATAAAGGTCCCACCCTCTGAAGACTCCCTTTATCCTAGTCCTCCTGCTGTCAGCCTGCTTTGGCCTGCCAAGGACCCCCTGGGTGCTGGCAGAGGTGGCAGGTAGTGGGGGCTTGCCTCACTGCCATATTAGGGTGGGGATTTCAGGACCCCACCACTACTCTATTTGGTGCTTCACAGGCTCTGTCTTTTCAGCTTTGTTTCTGAGCCCACACTCTGGGCCTCTCCTGCCCCTCGGGTCCTGCTCTTTGGGGAGTGGTCCCAGGCAAATGCACTCACTTCTTCTTGGAATCTTCCTCAGACACTTCGCGTGATTGCCACTGTCCTGGTGAGGTTAGTATGAACTCATCTGTACACTTTGTATCTCTCTTGTTCTTTCTGCTCTTTACATTATTTTCATTTTAACAGGGATTTGGAAATGAAAAGAGATAAACAAAAGAAATCTTGCTACCATTCTGAACCAAAAGTAACAACATTAAGGTTACTTTTTAATCACTCACTTCGTGTAATTTCACATTATTGAAATGATAGCAGTCAGACTGTTTATCTAATATTCTGTGTATGATGCTATAGTCTCCAGAACCCCTTGTGCAGAAAATGCTAAATTCTGTAATACATGAACATGATATGGTTAAGGTTTTATACAGATAGTAATTATAAATTATTTGACTAAGCATGACTTCTGCTTTATAAATACTCATCGGGCAAAAGTCTGTCAGCTATGCCAGACTTGTTTTCATAGCTGTCGTGATTTAGATTCTGAGGTACCCTTCCCTGCTGCACACACTTCCTTTGGAAGACAGAATAAAAGCAGATTTCTGAGTTAATTAAGAGTGTTTGTGACAGGGATTCAGTTTTGTTCTATTTATATAGAAAATGTGTTTTCAGATTCTTTACAAATGCAGAGGATAAGAAATCCATGTAGGACAAAGGTCTTCTTAATTTTATGTCTTCTTTTGTATCTCTGCTAGCCCACTTTATGCTGTTTCCCTTTTATCCGTTTCTGATTATTTGATAAAAGTGTCAACCTAGTGAAGAAGACAAAGCAGAATGCCAGGTTTCCCATTAACATCTTACTGTTCAATAGGTTGAATTAGGATTGACCTCTATTTTACAAATTAGAGGCCACATATACTGCCAAAACATTGAGTACTGGATTCGTTGGGTTACTTAGTCAACCCACTGTAAAATGATTTGTACTAGAGGGAGCTCTTGTCCCTAATGACAATGAAATTGTGAAACCCTCAGCTTCCTTGGTAACAAAGCACAGCAGACCATTGCTAAGAGGGGTTCTAGTGGATCATTTCTTGGGTTGCACTGTCTACCAGAAATACGTCCATCTCAAAGCAAACAGATGGAACAGCCTCGTTACAAATAGAGATTGGGATTCCATATTATGCGCACAGGCAACTTTTTTCACTTGACCTTTTCATTATCCTTGTACTCAGTCCTTAAATCCCAGAAATGCTGTCATAACCCATACTCTAGTGATGTATGGGAAGAGAGATGGAAGATAGGAAGGCACATCCTAAACATGCCTGTGCATTTTTGGGAGATGCTGTAGGATGAGAAAGCCCCCGTTTGCATCACTAATCCTAGAACTGATTTGCACATTTAGGTGGAATGCAAACTTGGAAGCATTGCTGTTTTTAAAACTTTTCCCTTCACTCTACACACATCTCTGTTTAAATAGTCATGTAAAATGTAGAATTCATGAAGGAGACTTGGGAAATGTCAACTATGGTATCTCTGATGCTAGTTCTTCTAAATAGATTGCATGATAATGGGGAGTTGTTTTTTTGATTGCATTTTAGGTTTGAGGCTACATGTGCAGAACATGCAAGATAGTTGCATAGGTACACACGTGACAGTGTGATTTGCTGCCTTCCTCCCCTTCACCTATATCTGGCATTTCTCCCATGCTATCTCTTCCCAACTTCCCACCCCCCACTGTCCCTCACCTATTCCCCGCAACAGACCCCAGTGTGTAGTGC